AGCCATCTGTTGAGTCTTCAAGTCCAGGTAAGTATTTTCTATACTTTTTATAATCTCTATTTGACTAATATTATCCTATTCGTTGCATAAAGGCTAGAGGAGTTAGACTATCATCTGACTTGCTTTTCTTCTGAATGCTTCTTTTCTTTGGGGAAAAAGAAATGGATGAAATATTTGACTGCTCATGAAAGTACAGGTGAGGCTGCTGTGAGTTCAAAACTCGTGACTGTTAATGGGTTCTCCCTCCCTCTCTCTCTCTCTCTCTTTCTCATGAATTTCCACATATATTTCTTAATAGTTTTTAATTGCTATTTGACTTGAAGTATAAATATAATGTGTACTTTTAAAAAAGGAATTATATGTACTTTTAAAAAAAGGAATTACTAACAACTTAGAAATATTAGCTTGTAAATGAAATTAAAAGTATTTTGAGAGAAAAATTGTGAAAACATTTAGTGAAGGAAGGAGAAATAAAATAAGAAAAACATTCAACAAATGAATATTTAATGTTGTAAATTAAGAAAGTTTTTTTATATTTGAATAGGAACAGTTTTTATCTTCTGAACACGTATCTTTGGGTTTTTGTATTCTTTAAATACAATACAGATTCATTTTTTTCCTAACTTAGATGTTATGATCTTTGGACTAAATCTGGCCACAAAATAAATGTGTTTTTATTTGGCCAGGGTAGTGATCTTTAAAAATTTGAATATTTTATATAAAAATCTATATTTAGGCTTCTCTTGATCAGTTAGAGGTTCCAGCTCCATTGGGTACAGCATTTCTGTGTGGCAACAATTGGTTGGAACTGAATAGCAGTCAGCAGAGTTTGGTACCAACCAGTTTTTCTGACTAGTGTCCAAGGACTTTACCAAGAGTACTGCCTTCTGCAGTGAAGTACTTGGATTAAGGGACAGCGTAATGTAGCTAAAGAAGAGAGAGAGGGAGCACTCTAAGGCATTATACTTCATTTGAAAACATCATGTTGAATATTTAGTTAGGATGTATTACTAAAATTTTCAGAATTATTGAAGCAGTCACTACTCTGTGTGTTAAGTTTTAGAAAGTAAATTTGTAAAAATGCTTATCATAGTAGGGTTTTTTTTTAATGGATCAAGGTTCTTTTCATAAACACATATCATTGTACTCCATGTAGTATAAGGCATCAAGTAGGGTGGTTGGACTAGAATACCTCCAGATTCCTTCTAAAAGACAAGTGTACATTAAATTGACAGTTGATTTTATCATATTTATTTCAACTTCATGGTTTATAAATATGTTCTGGATAGTTAAGGTTGGAAGTAGTCTGACCTCAGATAAATACTACATTATCATATCCTTTATAGGACATAGAATTTTTCCTAATTTCTTTTTCTTGCAAACAGAATCATTTTCATTGAAAAAAAAAATAGGTTCTAGTTGGTTTTTGTTAATGTTGTGATACTGCAAATAAACTGAGTTTTATATATTTTTCCATGAAATTTTGAGACATTCATTAGGTAATACATAGGTCTAAAAATAATTTCTCCAAAAATGATATTAATGAATGACTTGAGTTTCCATTGCATTTGAATCAGTCTAGGCTGCATTGGAAGAATAGTATTGCTTGGAAAATATAAATGTCTTTGATGCCCCTTACTGCCTGCTGAATGCTTATACAAACAGATTGAATCTTTAGTGTTTTTTGTTTTTAAATTGGTTTTAGACTAAGAAGATCTTTTAAGATAGGTAGTGTTTCTAATATCAAGCATCTGCCCAAGAGAATATTCATTGTTTTTGTAAGTAATACTAATTATGTAAGTTGGAAGAAATTAGGAATAGAGGCTTCATGTAAAAAAATATTTGGTCCACTGGTGAAAGGCTGTGTCCTTTGTAACATCTGCACTTTGGAATCCATTATAGTAATGATGGTCACATGGCCCAGGTTAGGTGGTTTGTCTATAGACACCACCAGTATAAACCAATGTGGAGGTGTAAGACAAGGTTTAACCTATAAGGCTAGTAGCCATTAGAGGTAGAGATTTAGAGAGGGGAGGAAATAAAATAATGTAATGAGTGCACATCCTATATAATAAAAGAGTAATAGGCAAATCGACCGAAAGATGGAATGACCAGTTGACAGGAGGTGGGACCGGCGAGCAGATGGCGCCAGGCCAGCCAAGGCTCGTGCCAGTGGGCAGAGGGAGGGGACAGCAATGGGGGGGGGGATAGGGGCGACCAGCAGCAGCAGAGGGGGGCAGGGGGGTTGGCCTTGAATATAATGACAAAAAATGAGGGGCTTCAAGTAAATCATATGATACTCATGTGAGCTTAATTTTTTTTTTTTAAGTTTGTAAAGGAAGGTAAGTAGTCAGGAATTAAACATTGTTATTTTTGACAATATTTGCACCTGATAGGAATTATATTATGACTAGAGGCCTGTGCACAAAATTCGTGCATTCGGGGGGTGGGGGGATCCTTCAACCCAGATTACGAAAGGGTACAAGCCAGGCCAGGGGACCCCACTGGTGCACGATCAGGACGGGGAAGAGACGCAGGAGGTTGGCCAGCCAGGGAGGGACCCTGGGAGGGCTCCAGGGCATGTCCGGCCCATCTTGCTTAGTCCAATTGGCTGGACCCCAGCAGCAAGCTAACCCATCAGTGGTAGCATCTGCCCCCTGGTGATCAGTGCACATCATAGCAAATGGTTGAGTGGCCTTAGCATATCATTAGCATATTATGCTTTGATTGGTTGAATGGACAACCGGACACTTAGCATATTAGGCTTTTGTTATATAGGATTAGTATAATAGTATACAAAAGGGTTTGTGTGAGGGTTTTTTAATTATCTTTCTGCATATAAGAGAGAAGAAAAGTATAGTATCATTTGTAGGAATACATAATTGTTAACTCAGTCTCCTAGGAGATTGATTGCTAGGTGAACTGAAAAGTTTTGGGAGCATTTTCCATTAAAAATTCATAAAGAAGGGATAATGATTGAAACAGCAAAAACTACAACTAAATCAGTGGTTCTTAAATTGTGCAAGTCCGTCCCTCAACCAGCACTAAAATGCCCTAATTATGCCATGTTTTTCTTAATTTTCCAAAAGAAATTATGATAATATGCTTTTCTAAATGTTTTATTTTGTAAATCATTCTAAAACTTTGATAATTTGTTAACTCTTTTGTGCTGTACTGTAGGATGAGACCTGATTAGGCAATTACATATCTAGTTATTTTATGTTTAATATTAGTATTTTATTATGTTCCTCAGAGTGTACCATGACTTCTAAGTATTTTGCTTTCTAACCTGGCTTGCTGTTCACTCATTATAGTAAACAGAGGCTCTTTTCAAGTATTCTCTGAGGCAGGATACCTACTGTTTCTGAGGCTGTGCCTTACGGGAGGCTTGGAGTGCAGTAAAAGCACAGGCTTTGGAATTAGCAGGCCCAGGATTCAAATTCCGTCCTTGCCATGTACTGGCTCTAAGAGTTTAAACAAGCTACTTAACTCTGAGCCTCAGGTTTTTCTTTTTGTTCTTCATAGGATTGTTTGCTTAAATGAAATGATATATATGAAGTGCTTGAGCATAGTATTTGGTACATAGTAAGCACTCCAAAAATATTTCTTATTCTCAAAAGTGTTGGAGGTGACAAGAACCCGGAGCCTTCTGTATTTCCTTATCCCTAATAGTCTGTATTTAAACAAATCAGCATCTGTATCACTTTGTTTTACTTATTGGTTCTTTTACTGGAGTAAAAAGGAGTAGTAGGTGCATCTGTTAATACAACTTTTAACAGTTTAAACTTAAATTGATTATTTTAAAGTGAAATAACTCATTTGTTCATTAGTAAACATTGCTTTTGCAAACTTAAGTCCATGTTTAACAATAGCCAAATGGGATAGTTTACAGAATATGTATGCCCTAGCATTTGCAATTCAGTATTATAATGCTTGACCTATTGAGTACAGCAGTGTTCTCCAACCACCAGGCTAAAAATAGATTAGCTTACACATCAGTTACCTACTAGCTAGGCTATTTTTAATGCCTTTCATAAGAGTTTTGTATGCAATTTTAGTACATTTTGCTTCTATAGTTTATCTTTGAGTTATTTCATATAAAAATCATCCAAGTAAGTTAAGGGCAATTATCTATATACTGGAATAAATTTTCATGAAAGTGCTAATAGAAGAGTAATATTTGAGTACAACTTTGTTTTCATTAGACTATATGTTAAGATGACTATACATTTCACATGAATATATACTCTCAGGGGCCATAAGGGTTCATACTCATCGAGTCTATTAAATATTGATCAAATGATTAAGAATTGTGATTCTTATTCTGTAGTTGTACCTGTGTATAGAGATCAGAAAGGCAAAAAATAATCCCTTAGAGGAGGTTTGCAGGGAGATATGAGTAATGGCAAGAATTTCAGAAAACAATAATATTTTCTGTGCATAGCTTTTCTTTGGTACTGTTATTTGATTTATATCAGCTTCAAATGTTATATACATTATATTAATGAGGTACACTTAATTTGATTTACCAAACTTTTAAAAATATTCTTTACCAGGAGGTTCAGCAACATCAGATGACCATGAATTTGATCCATCAGCTGACATGCTGGTTCATGATTTTGATGATGAACGAACATTAGAAGAAGAAGAAATGATGGAAGGAGAAACAAACTTCAGTTCTGAAATAGAGGATCTTGCAAGGGTAAATAACAATAAGAATTAGAGGATGAAGTGTTCATAACTTTTTTTGTGGAGAGAGGAAACGCTTGAAATTTTGGTTCTCTGCCTGTGTTTGGGGAGAAAAAGGATGTTGTATAGAGTTGACTGAAAAATTTTATGTGATCATAGGTGATATGTTTAAAGTTTGAAATGAAAGGCCTTTTTTTAAAGAAGTAACTTCATTATGTAAAATAGAATTCAAGTAGTTAACTTTTATAAAACATCATAGGTATCGGGTCAAAAATGGACTACAAAAGGATCCTAAATCTCTTCTTACACACCTTCTGTCCTCTCCCAATTACTGTACCTTTTATTTTTACCCACCTTCACAGCCAGAATTTAAGAGTTGTTACCATCTTCCTTATTACCCAGACAACAATAAATGATTCTTACATGATACTTGCTAAATCTTTAAGTACTTCAGTTAGCACATAGTAGGAACACTTATTTGAATTTAAAAGAGCTGCAGCAGAATTGATTTTGTTTTTTGTAGTTTTAGCCCAATGTTGGCTACAAGATTTTCACTTTATACCTTAGATCAGCGATTCTCAACCTGTGGGCTGTGGCCCCTTTGGGGGTCGAACGACCCTTTCATAGGGGTCGGCTAAGATCTTCGGAAAACATATATAATTACATATTGTTTTTGTGATTAATCACTATGCTTTAATTATGTTCAATTTGTAACAGTGAAATTGGGGGTCACCACAACATGAGGAACTATATTAAAGGGTCACGGCATTAGGAAGGTTGAGAACCACTGCCTTAGATCAAGTAAATTAACTTTTCATACCACTGTCAAACTCTAAATGTTGTATTCCACAGTGGGTCATGACTGTTGCTTACTAATTTATTGCTGCTGACTGTTGCTTAATAAATTGATATTGAGTGACAGAAGTTAAAAGTTAATATCTAAACAGAAGCATAATATCACTAAATAGTTTGTTTTTAAATATATATATTTTTAAATTGATTCAGAGAGAGGAAGAGAGAGGAAAAGAAGGATAAAAACATCAATGATGAGAGAAAATCGTTGATCGGCTGCCTCCTGCTGGGTATCGAACCAAGACATTGTGGTTCATGGCTGGATGTTCAACCACTGAGCCACACCAGCCAGACTATAGGTTTTTTTTTATATTAAGTAAGCATTTTCTTGATGGAATAAGCAAGGATTATTTTTTTTATACATGATAGAACCCACGTAAAACTAACTTTAAGAATACATTTTACACCGAAACCGGTTTGGCTCAGTGGATAGAGCGTTGGCCTGCGGACTGAAAGGTCCCAGGTTCGATTCCGGTCAAGGGTGTGTACCTGGGTTGCGGGCACATCCCCAGTGGGGGATGTGCGGGAGGCAGCTGATCGATGTTTCTCTCTCATCGATGTTTCTAACTCTCTATCTCTCTCCCTTCCTCTCTGTAAAAAATCAATAAAATATATATATAAAAAAAAGAATACATTTTAGATGTATATTAGAACTTTTTTAGAACTTTATTTTTTTTTATGTTTTAGAAGTCATATGAATGAGTATCTGAGTCCAAGGAATGTCTAGAACCAGAGATTCAGTGTCACTAGGACCCCTCAATCACTCTTAATCCATGGTTAAACCTGTTGGTTTCTTCTGCAAGATCTCTTAATTTTTTTCTTTACCATAACCATTCATTTAGTTTAGGTTCTAATTATACTACATGTGATTTACAGCAATGAATTCCAACTTAGCTTAGTCTTCCTGGCAAACGAAATCTCTCCTTGCCTAAGTCCGTCTTGAGCATTTGGTTGTATTTTCCCTAAGCCCTAACATTGTGTCAGTCCCTGTTCAACACCTACTTTCAAACCAAGTCAAAAGTAGGATATGACAGATTTTTTTAGAAACTAAGTAAGACTAGAGAAAGTAGTTTAAAATACCAGCCCTAACTTTCTTTTTGTTATTATAGATACCCTCTGCTCTTATACAGTAACCTACTTACCATTTTTTTTCTATACTTGTGTAGTTTTTTCTGAATTGATTGACTTTCTCTCCAGTTTTATTACTGTATTTTTCAAATTAAAGTGGTTCTCCAAATGCACTGTGATGAGCTACTTTTGACTCTCCTCAGTTCTCTGCCTAGTCAATATTGGAGGTGTTGGTAAATTTTTCTTTGAGAAAGAAATTTTTATAAAGTAAGTCATACTTCTCAAAAATGTATCCAAGAAGGAAAAATCTAACCTAACCATGGATGTCAGACATGAAGATTTCTTTCCATGTAGTTAGTATGACACCTACTTTTTTGACATAACTGAGCTAGATGACAGATATCAATGATAAGCTTTATTAAAGATAATGATCAATCTTTATTACCTTCCACTGAAAAGGCTGATGTGCAGGTAATTTTATCTTACAACTAGGAGCTAATTGGTTCTTAAGCTGATCTCATACCCGCAGCATCAGTATCACCTGGCACTTATTTTAAAAAATGCAGATACTCACACCCTTTCTCAGCTTAACTAGATCAGAAACTATAGGGTGGGACTCAATAGTCTGTTTTAATAAGCTCTCAAGGTGATTCTGTTGTCCTTGAATAAGACAGAACAAGTGGTCAGGAGCCCTAGGACATTTATTTAGTAATCTGCCTGTTTTGTGATATTTATCAAGGTATCAGTTAACTCAGTTGTAAAAAAGTAGAGATAATACTAACATATATTAGGATAATTTTAAAGATGAAATGAACATGAAACTTAAAGTGTTTCTCCTGGTTTGGCCCTTACTCTTACTAGTGACTTCAGGGCCTCTTGCTCATAATAGTGACGTCAGTTGTTAAACCTGCTTCTAATTTGTGGTGCAGAATGAGTTTATGGAAAGTATGAGCTGGGATTAGGAGGTGTAGTTATTGTAGTAAAGTCTCTTGTCATTGCATGATGTTTCCTTCTATTTGGTTTTCTGAATATTTATAAATAAGAGTAACAGACATTCCCATCTGGTACTTCTAAAGATCTAATAAGATTGTAATATTCTCACTGTGCTTTTATTTCTCTCTGAAATGCCCCGCACATAGAAGATACTTTATGGCAGCTATTTGTTATTATCCTATCTAATAAAGAGGGAATATGCAAATTGACCGCCACACCACCACAGAGACGGCGGCTCCCATAGCCACAAGTTGGCGGTGCTCAGCCCTGCTGGGAGGGTGGCAGGCACAGGTCCAGCCACTTCTTGTGCCTGCTGCCAGAGTCCCGCAGACCTTTTAGCCCAGCTAGGGGGCGGAAGGCGCATGATGTGGCCAGACCTGCCCTTTGCCCCCCAGTCGCCCAGGGCCAGCCCAAGGTGCAGGCAACCCTCAGATGGCAGCTGCCCAGCTGACGCCCGAGGTGCAGGCAAGCCTCAGATGGCAGCTGCCTAGCCAGTGTCTGAAGTACAGGCATGCCTTGGATATTTGCTGCCCAGCCGCCTAGGGCTGGCCTGAGGCGCAGACAAGCCTTGGATGTCGGCTGCCCACCTGTCCAGGGTGGGCCCAAGGCACAAGCAAGCCTTGGATGTCAGCTGCCCAGCTGCCCAGGGCCGTCCAAGGCTCAGGTAACCAGGGCTGACCGAGGCTTGCGCTGCTGGCAGTGGCAACAGCAGAGGTGTGATGGGGGGGTCGCCTTGCCCTGATTGCCAGCTTGCCTCCTGCCCTTGAGGGCTCCCGGACTGTGAGAGGGGGCAGGCTGGGCTGAGGGATCCCCCCTCCAGCGTATGAATTTTCATGCACCGGGCCTCGAGTCTCTTAATAATGCAGCGGCGGTGGTGGAAGCCTCCCCTGCCTCCGTGGCAGTCGGACATCCCCCAAGGGCTCCCATACTGTGAGAGGGCGCAGGCTGGGCTGAGGGACCCTCTCACCCCCTGAGTGCACGAATTTTGTGCACCAGGCCTCTAGTTGTGTAAAAACCAGTATTTTCTTTCTCTTTCTCTTACTCTAGTTTTTTCTTGGTTTTGAAGTTCTGTTTTACTTCTCAAATCCTGACTCCTAATTCCCAAATTTCTGTCTCATACATGGACCAGATATCTGCATGAACTAGATCCTTGAACTTAAACACTGTGCTACTGCACTTTGAGAATCACAGTACGAGATGTCAGTTAAGTATGCCACCTGGTCTGTCAGCTAGGGTGGTAGTACCTTGCCTGACATAGTTAACATTTTTCAAGCTGTGGCTACAGCAGGCCATTAGGGATTTCACTTTCAGAAACAGATTCACAAACTGACTTATAATTAGAACATCCATTTATGATATCAAGTAGAAGTTAACATTTTCTTCTTATTTCTGTAAGAAAACTTTTAAAAATTATAATCATTAGTCGTTTCTTGCACACGAATTCTGAGTGTGATGGGAGTTAATTGTATGATATAAGTGATTTGCATCATTGGATTTATATCATTCAGTTCGATGTACCCTTCTCTACCACAACAATGTATTTAACACATAGGCTCCAGCCGTGGGCAAACTATGGCCCGTTTGAAATGAATAAAACTATTGAAAAAAAAGACCGTACCCTTTTATGTAATGATGTTTACTTTGAATTTATATTAGTTCACACAAACACTCCATCCATGCTTTTGTTCCGGCCCTCTGGTCCAGTTTAAGAACCCATTGCGGCCCTCGAGTCAAAAAGTTTGCCCTCCCCTGGGCTAGACTTATTTCTGCCTATGAATAAGACTACAAGACTGCTGGAGAAATATAGAACAGTAGAGGCCCATCAGCCTGGCCTTCAGGGATCAGGCCAAAACCAGCCCAGTGCATGGATTAGTCCAGGTTGTGTCCGGCCTGTCTGGCCCAGTCCTGATCGGGCCCAGGAAGGGACCATGGGAGAACTCCAGGATTTTTCCAGCCCATCTTGCCCAGTCCCCATCGGCCAGACCCTAGCAGCAAGCTAACCTACCAGTCAGAGCATCTGCCCCCTGGTGGTCAGTGTGTGTCATAGTGACTGGTCAAACAGTTGGACACTTTGCATATTAGGCTTTTATTATATAGGATGTCTTATTTCATGATACTCTTTTTAAACTGACTATTAAGGTGTGTGTGTGTGTGTGTGTGTGTGTGTGTAATATGTTCACATGAATGTGAACTTTTTTAATGTTTCCTTTTTTAATCAGAATTCTGTCATGTTTCCCTGATACTTCTTGATGTTGTAGTCATATTGATTACTGATAAGAGTACCTTCTGCAGAAAGCTAATTTCATTTCACTAACATGGATTTTTTTTATTTCACCCTCAGGGTATGTTTTTGTGGGGTTTGGGGGAAGTCCATGGCTGAGAGTATGGACTTTTGGAATTAGACTTGAGATCTGGCCACATAAGTTATTACTTATATGGGGTTTTTTTTTTTTTTGGTTGTTTTTGTTTTTTGAGAAATGGCTTAATCTGTCAGCCTATCTCATCTATAAACTGGAAATTGCATAAGATATTTTTATATGTAATTATAGATTACCCTAAGAGAGAATAAATGGCTAATGCAATTCAGTATTATTCCTGTACTATATCATTGCTATTTTCTTTTCATGTATTTGGGCTGAGTAGGCTTAGTTTACAGTCTCTTTATTTTCTTATTATTCTATTCCCCCACTCCCACATTATATATGATACTCTTAACTGTGAGCATCCATACATCCTATTAACTGATGGTTTACATTATCTAAATGATTGCACAAAAGAATAGTTCTAAACCAATGTCCCTTTTTATTATACTTAAAAGATTTTGTTGTTAACAATTCTCATTGGTACATGTCTTAAGAAATTCATAAAAGACTAGAATTTTCTTAACTTCCAGAACTATTTTCAGTTTCACTTTTTATGAATTTAAAATTCTTGATACAGGTCTAAGAGCATTCTTCAGTATGGAATGAATACAGATTTGTGAAGTATAGGAATATGAAATATTACTCAGAATTAACTTTTTATTTTGGTCTGTTTAGGAAAGCGACATGCCAATTCATGAACTTCTCAGCCTTTATGGGTATGATGGTACTAGTCGACTACCTGAAGAAGATGAGGAGGAGGAAGAAGAGGAAGAAGAAGGTGAAGATGATGAAGATGCTGATAATGATGATAACAGTGGCTGTAGTGGAGAAAATAAAGTAAGCTTATACTAAAATTTTTAAGATTATAGTCTTTATTGTTGGAGTTATAATTTTTAAATACGTTCATTTTGACTGCTTATTTTTACCTATATTTCTGATTTTAAAAGTAATACATTTAGATATTGAAAATTAAGATACAGAAATATTTAACAAAAATTGCAAGTTCTCTGTAATCCACTCCTGAGGGGTAAGTTTCATCTGTGTTATTCAGATTTCTTTTCAATGCCTAGTCTAAATAAATTTGTACCAACTTTTAAAAAGCACTATCTTTTTAAGTAATAAAGGCTAGTTGGCAGTTCTGTATTCATTTTTCTTAATTTGTTTTGAAATAATTTTAGATTTACAGAAGAGGTTCTAATGTACAGAGACTTATGTACTCTTCACCCAGAAATTTCCCTTATGTTAATATCTTACATAACCATGGAAGATTTATCAAAAATAAAAAGTCAATACTGGTACCACACTATTTAATTACATTACAAGCAGTTCAGATTTCATCAGTTTTCCCATTAATGTCTTTTTCCCTGGTCCAGGATTTGACCCAGCACACCATGCTACAGTTAGGGTATTTATTTTAATCTTCTAGTTGTATTTGAAATACTGTGACCTATTATCTCCAAAATGTTTTTTGTTGTTGTTACTGTTTTACATCTTAAAACAATTTAATTTATGATTCCACAGGAAGAGAATATAAAGGATTCATCAGGTCAAGAGGATGAAACTCAGTCTTCCAATGATGATCCATCACAATCTGTTGCTTCTCAAGATGCACAGGAAATAATCCGCCCACGTCGATGTAAATATTTTGATACAAGTAAGTGTTACTGGTTGCTATAGTTGGGGTGTAATTTTTACTCTCTAATATATGGCCTAAAATTCTAGTGTGTGTTTTTTTCACTGCTCTGAGTTTATTTACTCTTAAACATCACTTAACAGTAATGGAGTTTTGTTATAGGTTATTAGTGTTGCAATGCTGGGCCCTGTTCATAAATATACTACAGTAATTGTTGTGTCACTTACTACTTGGTTTTAAGTGTGTTCCTTTTTTTCCCTTCCTGACCCTTTCTTAAATTTAGTTTGTTTCATGGTCATCTTTTAATTTCTCCTAGTCTTTTCCTCGGTTATCATTTTCTACTTGCTTTGCCTATTAGCTTTTTAAAAATAGATTCCTAAGCATTGCTTTCCTTAATCAGTGCCTCCTAGTTCTGAAGAAGTGGTTGACATTTGAGATAGGAATATGTTATACTTAGAAAGAAGTCTCCTAATTTTCCGACAGTTATGATCTAGTCAGAGATGACCAGTAATATCTATCTTGAATATTTGCATACTTCATCTACTGCACAGTGTTTCATTCTAAACAGTAGTCTTTACTCTAGAGGTCAGCTCTCTGATAAAAAGTCAACTATTAGTGTTATTAGTTTAAATTTTTTATCTAATTTCTATACTTTAAAAAGAAGAAAAACACTTGAACAATCCCTCATGAAATTTAGTAATGTAATAACTGATTAAACATGGCAACTGCTTTGTATGAATGATTTCTGTTACACATTTAGTTTAGAAGTGAATGTAGTACTGCTAATAATAATTTAACTGAGTTTTGATATAAGATATGGTCCAATTGAAAAGTGTACCAATGCAGGAAGATATTACTGAAATAATTGTGTTATTGTTTTGTTGTTAATCCTTACCTGAGGATATTTTTTTACATTGATTTTTCAAAGAGTGGAAGGGAGGGAGAGAGAAAAGAGAGAAACATCTATGTGAGAGAGACACACATTGATCGGTTGCCTCCCACATGTTGCCCTGATTGGGGTCCAAGGATGGAACTTGCAACCCAGGTACATGCCCTTGACCAGGAATCGGACCTGAGACCCTTTTCAGTGCCAGGGACCAAAGCTCTAACCACTGAGAACACCAGCCAGGGCAATAATTATGTTAATTTTAAGTTTGAGGAAATGTTGTATTAACCTCTTAGTAATCAGTGGTTCTCAACCTTCTGGCCCTTAAAATACAGTTCCTCATGTTGTGACCCAACCATAAAATTATTTTCGTTGTTACTTCATAACTGTGATGTTGCTACTATTATGAGTTGTAATGTAAATATCTGATATGCAGAATGGTCTTAGGCGACCCCTGTGAAAGGGTCATTCAACCGTCAGAGGGGTCGCGACCCACAGGTTGAGAACCCCTGTCTTAGTTAAACAGCAGATCTACTGACAGTGGGGTGCTAAGTGATTGCCTAAACTGTTTAATCTGGTATTTCAGTTGTGATGTTTGCATGGAAGCTATATACATATATTTTGCCTGTCTTCATAGGAAGAATTAATTTCTATATGGAATGTTATCCTATTGAACTTTGTGTGCCATTTTAGAGTTAAGAAGATGCTGAGAATCTGTTTTCAGATTTCCCACCCCTTTTTATAAATACATTCTTACTCCAAAATGTAAATACACAGCACCTTGCCTGCTCTGAATAAAACAGTTGGGTAGAATGGAGGACATCATACATACTCCCTTCATGTGCTTCCACCCAAAGTGATGCCATAAAGTTCTCAGTGTTTCAGGGAGCACTGTTTGGAAATCACTATTCTGTCCAAATTCTCATTTTGTAAGGAAAAGATTGAGATCATATAATTTACTCTGTCACCAGGCTGTTGATAAAATTAAGTTTAGAACTAGGTTATTTTGATTCTAAATTTTGTTTCTGAAGTTTCTGTAGAAAATCATTTCATGAGAATACAGTTGTTTAAGATTAGGATTGACCTGAAAGGTGTATGGGCCTTTTTTGTTTTGTTTTGTTTTGTTTTTTAACTGATGGGGTATTATTTGATTTGAAATATCTTGGTCTAAGTCTGGAAATAACTTTGGGCGTATTTAAATATTTTGATGGTAAATGTAAGAATAAAACACAAACATACACTGTGGACAGGATAAGCAATCATTTTATAGTAGTATTGTCTTACTTATTCTAGACAGTGAAATAGAAGAAGAATCTGAAGAAGATGAAGATTATATTCCATCAGAAGACTGGAAAAAGGTAGTTAGAGCCATATTTTCCAAAATCTTAGATAAATTAATACTTAAAAAGCCCAATGTAATTACTTTTTTATTAAGTAAATATATGTTGATAAAGTTGAGGTAAGCCCTATTCTGACTTTTAAATATTGGGTAGATGTTCACATTTCCCCTAATATATTCAGATGTTTATCGTATTATAAAATAAAATAATGATATAGAAAGAATTGGCCTTTGAACTGGCACACTCAAACCATGATTAGAAATCCAAACTTCTGAACTAGTGCTGCATTAGACTTTTGTTGCACTATAGAAAGTATCACATTTATAAATATATATAAATCATGAGGCTTTTTAGTATTCAGTAAATTGTTTAAAAATTTGATTATAAATTTATCCTATATTAATGTTGATGTTTACAACTCCAAATATAATGTGTAAAAAGATGGATTTAGGCTTCTCTAAAACTGCATAATTAAATAAGTTGATTTCTAAATGAGTCTAAAGAGAATATATTGACATGGTTTTAAATTATAGAATTGTATAACATTGTTTAATCATACAATTAAATTGAATTAAAAACTATTGCAAAGCTGTTGACTTATGAAAGTATCAAAATGTCATGTGAAATTGTTTAGCCAAATCATTTATATATTAAAAAATGATCACCTGATCTTTCTCTTAAAAACTCCATTGAAGTTTTTTTGTTGTTTTTTCTACATTTGATTTTAAATTTAGTGCGTAAATTTCTTTGAATGCAGAATATGCCAGAACATCAAATTGAGTGGGATTTCTGCACTTCAGTCATGATTGATTATTTATTTAGTTAATACTTTGGAGCTTTCCCTATGTTTTTGTTTTTGTTTGTTTGTTTTTTAGTTTAAAGTTGTCTGGTCTGGGATGCCTGGGGGAAATATAAAAATGAGCTGACCCCCTTGCTGATTAAAAATAAGGAAACATATTTAGAGTTTCTATTAGGAAGAATTAAGTATTGAAATGAACTTGAACTGGGCTACGCAGGACTTGGGGCTTCAGCCAAAATTGATCTGTTACTGGTTTCCAAAAAGATGTTTAGAAGGGAGAGACATCTGTTTGGGTTAGAGTGTTAAGAGAAGGTTAGCCCAGTACAGTATGTGTTAGTTAATTTGAGTGAATGATGAATGACTGATGGGTCTGAAGACATAACCATGTTCACAGAAGTTACTATTTGTTTGTCCTATTTTGGGAAATGGTTTTTCATCCAGTTTTTTCTGATTTTTAATACCATGTAGAAATTAAAATGATAAACTGTAGAAATCCTGAGTCATCTTAAACTATCGTTTTTCACCACACATTCAAGTTTATATAAGTTTTCTCCAAAATAAATTAACTGTTTTTGTATCTGTGTTCAATATAGTATTTAAGTGGATGTTATTATTTTTAATGAAGGGACAAAAAGCTCAGAGGAGAGAGAACAGGGGAAAGTGAACTCTTCTTTGCTGGAGGGTACTAGTCACTTCCTCAGGAATAGTGTGTAATAATCAGGCCATGGTAAATCCAGACTGTTTTTAGTATGATTTTGTTGGAATAAAAAATGTCTAGATTCAGGATCTTCTCAGGCTTGTAAGATAAAAGAAAGGGGGGGGGGAGTTTTTATAGAAATGGGTAGAGGAAACAGTTTTGAAATCAAATCTCTTCAAGTTATAGCCCAGAACTTAATAATAGTGTGTACTTGAGGAAATAAAATTTTTTGAGTTTCATCTCTTCCCATAAAATATGGAAATAACAATTTCTAACACCAGTGAGGTGACAGTAACTAGAGAGCAGAAGTTTTCAAATCCTAGGAGTTCTTTAAACTTGCTAGATCAAGATTTTGTACTTTTCCTCCCCAAGTCTTCATTTTAAAAATGCTGTAAATTTATTCTTAACATTTAGCCACCAGACAAAAGAGAGTGTGTAATTTTGGACCCTGTGTGTAGTAAAATCTTGTCTGTGATGACCTCCAATGTCTTTCTGAACAGTTTCCCCTAATTTGTGATTTGATGCTATAAAGTCGATTACCAGATTTCCTAAAATAAGTTTTAATTGTGTTTGGGAGGTTACTTTTTCATTTTGTATTGTTTTATTGAAAGTCAGGCACTAACCTCCTTATCCATTTGGTTTGGAGTTTCATCCTTTTGGCCTCTACTGAGCTTTATACAAACCCTTTTTGTTACTTTCTTTATCTTAAAGCTCTGGTTCTCAGACTTAAGGTGTGTTAGAATCAACTGGATACCTTGTTAAAACACTAATTGCTGAGTCTCATTTTCAGAGTTTCTGGTTCAGTAAGTAGGTCTGGAATAGGACCTGAGCATTTGTGTATCAGTTTCCCAGGGACCATAGTTTACAGTGTAGATACTCTGAAAATATCTGAATTTGACTTCCAGTTTTTTAGTGTTTGCAATTATCTTACTAATTGAATAGTAAGAATTTTTTTCTCCATATTTTGAAGTAGTTTGTATACATTGTCTGTATTGCATTTCACCCCATTATTATTACTAATATTTTCATCCAATCATATCCAAGCTCCTATCTATTATTAACTCATTCATCCTCACAATACTTCTCTGAGGTAGTTAATTGTTGCATCTGTATTATATGACACAGAAACCAGGAACAGTTTGTCCAAGAAGATGGTAATGCTAGAAAATGGATATAAAGTCTGTTACTAAGATCTTATTAATGTACTTTTAAAAAACTTTTTATTGATTGATTTGAGAGAGAGATCCATTTGTTATTCCACTTAATAATGGTGCATTCATTGGTCGAGTCCTGTATGCGCCCTGACCAGGATTGCACCCACAACCCTGGCGCATTGGGACGATGCTCCAACCAACTGACGTACCCAGCCAGGGCCCTTACTAATGTTTTATGTTATTTTTAAAATAGGAGATTATGGTGGGCTCCATGTTTCAAGCAGAGATTCCAGTTGGCGTTTGTAGATACAAAGAAAATGAAAAAGGTGGGTTATTAGTAAAGTTAATAGGTGGATTCATGTTTTTGAAGTGAACTGTTGTTTTATAATGGGATAAGAACATGACAGTTTATGTTACCTCATTTAAATATGAAAGAGGTCCTGCATCATTTCTATAAGAAGAAATACATTTTTTGTTTTTCTAGTTTTGTTCACACAAATCTAGTGGAAAAGGTGAGTTCTTATTTTGTTAAGTGATTTAAAACATCCCAACTTTTATTTTTTTCTTGTTCTTATATTAAATACTCTGAATATACCCTTTCATAGCCTTTATAATTTAGATTTTAAAAGTTACGTCAGTGGAAGCTGTTGGACAGGTCTAAATAAAACTTTGACTTAATAATTATAAAAAGTTTACTTCTGAAACTTTTAATGATTACTTATTAAAATTTATTACTTTGATATTTGTGTACTTAAAATAATTTGGGAAAACAACTTGTACATTTAAATTTTACATGATTTTTTTTCATCATTTTATCTTAAAGTCCTAAGGTAAGTCATAAATACTTAAGTTTCTAATAACATAAAATATTTGAGGATTTTTTTTTAAGTCTGCTTTAGATTACTCACTTTAGGTGAGTTCTATAAAGAATGTTGTGGGTGTATGTGTGTTTTCAATGAGTTCATGTGTAGTGTGACATCACTTGATGCTAGAAATCTTTCTTCATTTCTTTTATTTCAGTTTTCTCCACATTTCAGCTTACATATGCAGATCATTTTGGAGTTGTAGAAGTCTTTTGTTGTTTATTTTCTTTTTAGCATCCCCTCCAGAAATGTACTTTATATTCTGAGGGTGCACGGGCTTTCAGGACAAACAGCAGATCAGAGGTAATTAAGGGGACACCACAGGCTGGTAAATCCTAGTGACCATAAAAATGTTTTAGCACACCAGTAACTGCTTTCATTCACTTTCAGTTAATTCCTGTATCATAAAGGAACTTTAGAAGTTTCAGTATGGAGTGACTTAGTTATATGTTGAAGTTCTGTGCATATGTTTTGTGAATACCTTGTAATTGTATGCAAAAATAAATGATCCATTAGCTTTTGTATTGAACTTTTGTAATTGAGTTTGCAGTGCTATGCTTTACCTATCCTATCCTATCCTATCCTATCCTATCCTATCTTATCCTATCCTTTCCTATCCTATATAATAAAAGGCTAATATGCTAAGTATCCAACCGTTTGTTCAACTGTTTGACCGGTTACTATGACACACACTGACCACCAGAGGGCAGATGCTCTGACTGGTAGTTTAGCTTGCTGCTGGGGTCTGGCCGATGAGGACTGGGCTAGATGGAGCCCTTCCATGGTTTCTCCCCACCCCCAATCATGCACTGGTGGGGTCCCTCTGCCTGGTCTGCGCCCTCTCACAAGCCGGGACCCCTCAGGGGATGTCGGAGAGCCGGTTTCAGCCCAATCTCCACAGACAAGGTTGAGGGACCCCACCAGTGCACAAATCCGTGCACCAGGCCTCTAGTGTTATATAATGTTTAGTATGTGTTCACCATTGAGTTCTTTCTCTCCAAATAAAGAATTGAAAGTTAGACATTTGTTTCATTTTATTAAATTTCTTTATTAAAGAAAATTTGACTATGAAAGATAGCAGTGCTTATCTTGGAAAATTTTGTATTTTGTCAGTGGGAAGGAAAACCATCTCAGTTTTATATCTGGCACGTTAATACTATGGCTAAAGGTAGCTTAATTATCTTTTAATGTGTTCTTTTTAATTATAACATGTTTTATTGTCATAGATCACAGTGAATAAATGATCATAATCTCTAATTTTCAGTGATTAAATTTTGGTTTAATAATTTTAGAAAGCAATTATACTTTTTTCCCCCAGACAAAGCAATGATTTCTGAAGCTTTCTTACTTTGAGAAAGCCTATTAGATTGTGTAAGGATCAGACTAGATTTAGCAAGGTGATACTGCCTTGGAGAGGGTCACTGTGGTACAAGGCCTGTCCTCAAATTTGTCATTACAGGAATTCAAACTTTTGTTGTGATATCCAGAATTTGTTTCCATTTACACGGTACCTTATGCATACAAACCAAACAGATGCGAAACTTATGAAAAACACAAATAAAGCTGTCAAGGGGATTGTGCTGGTTAATGCAGTCTTTTCTTACAGATAAAAAAGTATAAGGTATATTTAATGGTTTGGTGAGCACACATTCAAAAGGGAAAGCATTTGGTTTAAGTGATTTTGATAAAAGTTTCATAAAACTAAGATAACCTGATCTCTTTACTATGGGAATAATTTGACAGATGGATTAGAATTTTTCATTGACATAAACCCTAATTTGAGTATTTGGAGAGATACTGATGACACTTTTCTATGACATCTGATCTCTTTTTACTAAGCTCTCTGCACATTTTATATTCCTCATCAGTTATCACTCCTAATTCAAACAATTATGTAAATACTAGAGGCCCCAGTGCATGAATTCATGCACCAGTGGGGTCCTTCGGCCTGGCCTGCGGGATCGGGCTGAAAGTGGCTCTCCAGCATCCCTTGAGGGGTCCTGAATTGTGAGAGGACGCAGGCCAGGCTGAGGGACCCCCACAGTGCACAATTGGGGCCAGGGAGGGACATGGGAGGTTGGCCAGCAGGGAGGGACCGCGGGAGAGCTCCAGGGCGTGTCGGGCCCATCTTGCTCAGTCCTGATTGGCTGGACCCCAGCAGCAAGCTAGCCTACCGGTTGGAGCGTTTGCCCCCTGGTGGTCAGTGCATATCATAGCGAGCAGTTGAGTGGCCTTAGCATATCATTAGCTTATTACACTTTGATTGGTTGAACAGGCGACTGGACATTTAGCATATTAGGCTTTTATTATATAGGAAGATTAGTAGTTACAGTCACATTCAAAGACATTCCTTTGAACCAATATCTATTTTAGTTATAAAATTTCAACTCCACATTAACATTTTCTTAAATTCATGTAAATTACCATTTATTCTCACCACGATCTTATATAATAAAACCCTAATATGCAAATCGACCAAACACTATCCTTATAGCTAGAAGACCAGCAAAAATGAGAATTTCCCCATACCCCTTTGCTCCAGCAAAAAGTATAAAGAGAGCCTCTGTTGACTCATCTTTAGTCATATACCCAGCCAGAAGTAATGACTGTGGCCAGAGAGATGAGTCAGTTATTTAGCTTCCACTGACTCCTTTATCTGTTCTTGTAGCTCACAGGGGTGGTATCAGCCCCTCTCAGCATATCTAAAGAAGACGAAAGACATGCTTTTCAAAGTTATGTGTTTTATTGTCACTCTCACTGCAACTTTGTGATAAGACTAGGTAATTTGAATGCTGGTACTGGTGAACATCCTACATTGCACAGGATCGAACCTCCCCTTATCCCATCACTAAGACTTGTCAGGCCAATGTCAGTAGTGCCAAGGTTTAGAACCCTGGACTAATTTAATTGGGAATTTAGATGGGCTACTTAGGAAAAAGGAAGGTCATGGTTCAGACTATTCCCAGTCAAATTTTTATGTTTGCATGACATAAGTTTTAGAGTAAGTAAATGATTGTTAGGAATTATGAAGCAGTGAATAGCATAGGACCAGGCAAATTGTTTCTAATGAGCATTTGACAAATTAATGCGCTACTCTTAGTTGATAACAATACTATTGAAACAGGCATTTTATTGAAGAAACCTATCCAAAAGTAGAGCGTTCCTATGAAACCTTTTATATACCAAAATGGAAAGCCAAGAAGCAATCACAGTAGTGTGCTCCCCTCATTTGAGGGCAATGCATTCCTAGACTACCCAACAGAAAGACCAGTGTTACCAAACTCTGTATATACTTTGTTTTTCCTTAATACGTGTATATACCTCTAAAGTTTAATGTATAAATTAGGTACATTAGGAGAGTAACAGCAATAATAATAAAATAGGACAATAACTACTGTAATAAAAATTATGAATATGGTCTCAAAATACCTTACTGTACTGTACTTCTTGTGATGATGTGAGAGGATACAGTGCCTATGTGATGAAATGAAGTAGATAAATTACGCAGAGCTTTTCAAACCATGGTTGATAGTGGATAACTTAAAACCGCGGGAGCAAAAATGCTTATAAGGGGCAACTACTGGTACCATTAATTTATATGGAAAAATTTTTGAGCATTTCCATACCCCAAAAATAACCTACCAAATAACACATAAAACCTAAGATAATATTAACATATAGTGAAAGCAGGA